TTTTTTGTCCAATGGGAGCAATGATCGTCAGCCTCATGGCTTTGTTTACAAGTTATAGTTCATTTGCAAAAAAGCACAATGTGAATGCAAACCGCACCAAACGAAAAAAAAAGTTAATTTTTGGTCCGGACCAAACAATTGGACCAAAGGACTTTCCTGGTCTGAAAACACCCATAATCTTTTGTAGACATACATCAATTAATTACTGTCTGCAAGTCACACTAAAATGCTTTATGAAATAGTTTGCTGATGCTACAGATAAACAAACACAAGTTAAAAGCTTTCTCTGATGAAATAACCACTCATCCCTTCTTCCAGACACCAGGTTAACCATCACCGGACTGAAACCGGAGACGGCGTACGAGGTCAAGATGTCCGCCATCAACGGGAAGGGCGAAGGCGAGAGCAGCCTCGCAAGTCCTTTCAAGACCAAGCCAGTCCGTAAGTGCCTCCCCTCTCTTCTTGTCCCCCYGCTCTAAACAATCCCCCCCCCCACCCTACAAACAAACACACCTTCTGACCTCACAGCTTTGAACCTAACACTGCAGCTCCCTCCACCTCCTGCTTCCAACCCCACGCTCCACCGTACTCCTTTTCTGTCCAGGCGAAGCAGAGCAATAATTCACCATGACACCACCACTTCATAATTCAGCTGCTTAATATTAACTCTAGAAAGACTCTTTCATAGCTAAAAGGATTTTTTTTCTCACTCTTCTAAACGGATGCACTGTGTAAGGCAGACATTACCTTTGTGTTTTACAGAGGCTTTTTTTTCGCCCACAGCTAAAGTGATTTAGAGATTCCTCTCTGGAAAGTGCTCGCACACTCTTAAATCTGATTTAAACATCAGTGTGAGGACACGCCAGCTGTGTATTTATAGATCACTGACAGCGTGCATTTTTAATGTTGTAGCCACAGGTCATGTCCTGCTGAAGAGACTKTAGACTTTCTGATGGTGATGGCTGCGGATGATGAAAGCTGGGGGGTTTCTGAGGTCTTCGTTTTTTTTTTTATCTGTTTTTGATGAAAAGGAGCACAGCTTACCTGAGAAGCAGGCAGATTAAGAACACAGGCATTGTCAGACTTGTTTAACTCRGAGCGTGCAGCTGCATAAGCTTGAAGTGCAGATCGGCCTTCGGTCGCAAGATCTATTGCGACCTCATCTCGTCCTCCCCTCTCCATTTTTCATGCATCGAGGTGACAGCAAGACATAAATAACGTGACAGAGTTTTTATGAATATATTTTTTAATAATTCTAAAAAACTAGAACAAATATACAGTATATAATTACTGAAAAGTGATATTTCTCTGTGGGTGAGCAGATTATAAAGGTTGCATGTAGCAAAAACAGCTGGATTGACATGTAGGACGTTGATCAGGGCCGAAACATAAAACCCAAAAAGCAGCAGTTGCTGTGATAAAATCATTTTATGAGGAGAGACAAGACTAAGAAGGTTAGATGCAGGAAATTACTTCGGCAAAGGCTCAGAGCCCTTTTTAAAATGGATTTTRCATTTGGGATGAAAACATGGTTATTTTAGTTTGCTCACAGACTTCTATTGGATTTTGGAAACCATGTTTTTGTATTGCACTACATTTATATTAAAACTGTCATGTTGGAAACGTATAATACTAATATAAAATATGATAAAGATGAACGTTTTTGTATTTATCCTAGAAWGAAAATACATTTAAAGAGAAAAATTCAAATATATTAAATAGGATGTAAGCTACTTAAAAAAAATTCAATAAATTCATGTATACATTATTCCTGTATAGAGATGGAGATTAATACTTTAATAAWACATGTGCTTAGAGTCTGAAATCAGTATTTTTATTTAGATATACTATAACTAATTAACCCTAATAAGTTTGTGAACTGTAATTTTGCTCATTTTTAACAGTAGTACTTTTAATTTTATGCATTTTGAAATTTTAAAYGTCCAAATACACTCATATTTAGAGGTTTATTTTCATCAAATCACCGTCTGATCTACTATAACCAGCCAGTTGAACCGGGTTTCAGGTAGAAAAGCAGCCGACCTGTTTTGTCATTCAGAGCTTCAAGTCAGAGTCATGAATAAATCTTTGTTTTACTTTGTTCCAGCCTCSCTGTCATGTTTCCATCTGTGCCTCTTCACCTCACAGCTCCTGTAGAAAAGGATCCCTCCTCAGCTTCCTCCTTATTATGTCTGAATCAATACAGCGAGTCAACATGTTTCATCAGATGCCTGAGTGAAAGGATCGCTCATTTACGCAGCTATTTTTAGCTCCATTTGCATCCGAGCTTAAATTTTACATAATGCTACGCCAATGAAATTGATGCTTTTGCAGAATGATGAGAATATGTTGGATGCATTTGTCAGTGCAACATTTCATTTCACTTAACAGCATATATGTGATGAGATTTTTTACTTCCTGTTTAAAGGGTTGTAGAAATCTTTTAACGTCTATCTTACCTGAAAACTTTCAGCTACAAAAACTGAAATTTTCAATTTAGAAGACATTTTTATATTTATGTTATCATTAAGAAGTGAAGGAGGAGCAGATTATCCTGTCAGCAGTTTCCAGTGATGTGTTCTGGGAGTTTGGCATGGGTTTGTTGATGTGACAGGACAGAGGAGTTCTCTGTCGTTGATCACATTTCTCATTTCATTTTCTTTGTTTTCTTTGTGTCATTGTTTTCTCCTTGTTTTTCATCTGTTCTGTATTCCACTGGACTTCTCAGAATATTCTCTCACAAGTAAGTTTCGTTTCATCCCTACTTCTCTGCCATGTTTCTCTCCGCATTTGTCTTCATTCCCATCCCGTTGTTCATTTTATGGTTTTTTCAATATTGAACATAATCAAAGCCACTGATCAACAGGATGTCTTCACAGAAAAACTGCAGAGGAATAATTCAGTACTTCCAGAGCTGTGGTTCAGCAGTTTTCATTCACTCATTTTTTTAAGAGTTTATTGATTTATTTATTTCAACATGAACATGATGACAGAGAAGTTGTCTCTTATTTAAGGAATAGACTTGATTTTATTCTAAACTTACCAAAGATAAATATTTTTGACACCAAAGCGTATCAGAAACTGATTGAGGAAATTATTAGTAAAACTATTTAGTTTCCAACCTTTTTATGAAATATTTGGGTCCCAAATCTAAAGTTCTGTAAATACTTATTTAATTTTTGTTTGGCTCTGGCCAGTGAGATTTAGAGCTCTTTTTTAACCACTCAGATAAAAAAAGATGGTTTAAATGAATATCACTGTAAATTAATTGTGTTGCTAAAGCTCAGAATTTGGAAATCAAGAAAGAGATGGAAAAATACAAGCAAATAGATGTAATTTTAATACAAAAAAGTCATTAGGAAAGCTTAAAACCAAGAAAACAACAGCATAAAATACAATTTACTGTGTCAGACATTTTCAGAATCATTTAGTCARTGGTAAAAAGGAACCGACACGGCTTAGATATGTTTGTCAGTTAGAAAAATCTGCTGTCAATATGAGATGCTTTGCAAAGAGCTTTCTAAAAAAAGAGACACATTTGAGATAAAACACTTTTAAAGTGATAAGAGGGAATAACTGACATTAATCTGCAGATTTTCACTGTAAACTAATGGAAGMTTTGAAGCAACAGATCGATGTGAAATAAACAGACTTGGTTAACTTCTGTTTAGTTTTATGTAAGATAAATGCTGGATAAGAAAGTATATYAGGGCCATGATGATTCATTTTGACTATTAAATCGAGGAGCTGAGGACAAACATTGACGGTGAAAAATGTAAACCATTTTTTATGGGATGAACTAAAGTTAAACCAAAAGCAGTTCAATAAATATAAACTATACAAAGCTGACATGTCTTTTTTTTTTTTTTTTGTAAAAATAGAATATAAAATAATCCAACTTTGAAGTTTTCTGCTTTTAAACACAGCAGAATTCAGTCACTACATTTATTTCCCTTAGTTTTCTTTGGATGCTTGCAGAGTTGGACTTCTAAAAGGATAAAAAGACTAAGTTTGTTTCAAGTCTGGAGGTTTACATTTTAATTCCCGCATTAATTTGTAAGAAATGAACAAGCACAATCCTGCATTCAGGGGATAAAGTCCAGACTTCAGACCAGTGTTTCCTTCAAGGGTATCGCAGATATTCTACACATTAAACATTTTCTCACTGTGGGAGAAAAGCAGCTCCATAAACATTTGGCTAATTGAATGTCTGGTACACATTTGAAAAAAAAAGAGTTTATTCAACAAATCATCCTCTAATAATCCACATTGTTCTTATTTTTAATTAAACTTACTGTTCACAGTTTGAGTAAAATCATGAAAGTATTCCTTAAACACAAAGCTGGCAAAACACTTAAAGTTTAAAAAAAGTTGTTTCAAGAAGCTTTTAAAAAATACATTTTCATGCAAAGACAGTCTTTGGTTTSAAAGAAAAATGAATGCAAAGCAGGTTTAGAAAACACCTTAAGGCTAAAGTTGTTACTTGACTGTTGGACACGAACACATCTGTGGAGCTTGGCACGATTTGGTTGAAATCAAAGTGCAGCTAATTTGTAATTCAGACATTTTTCAGTTGGATGCAAATACAGTATATCGTATGTTCCAGTGAGAACTAAAGTTACACATTTACATTAAAATAAACACATAAGATTGGCATTAGTAGCTTTGGTAAAATTAGGTTTAGAGGTTTGGCCAAAATATATCTTAGCAAAGTTTGATTGAAGAACACACAGGGTTTGATACAACCTGTCTCTGTTGTGGTTTTAATGGGTACAGAAAACAAAAGCATTGTGGGAAAGTTCCTGTTCAGTTAATGAAACTCAACAAACTCTGTGTTCGTCTTCCTGTTGAGGACTCCCGCTTCTCTCATGCTGTTTTCACCATTTTTCAGTTGAATCTGCGATATCACCCACTATCGCTGCCACCAGCATGACCAGTAGTGAGTATGCCAGTCCAGTGGTGTGCCGTGTGTCTCTCCTCACCTGTAACGTTACTCATCTGGCCTGTAGTTGGTTGTTGCTCATAGGAAAGATTGTCTTTGCTAAAGCGTAGAATCAGATCAGAAACAATTTGCTTACAGTGGTTTGGCTAACTTGAAAACACCTAGATTTTAATCTTACTAACATTTATTGATACTGGTAGGTTAACCACATGATTGTGGAGTTGTGTCATAATTTCAATGTTAGTAACACGTTTGAAACATGTTTCTAATAGGTGTAGTTTACTTAGCATGAATGTTTGTCTTTAAGCAAATCATTTGCTGCAGAACTAACATGCTTTTGGTAGAATTAGGGAATGACTGGTTAATAAATTTGAGCAATGTTGATAAGCTTAAAGAAAAATAAATGAATTTATTTTACAATGTAATGCTGTTTGTTAGACGCACAGTGTGATGGTTACCTCCTAGCATGGTAAAAAACAAACCCTCATTCKTACAGAGGGTCTGGACCCTCAGCTATTGAGAAACGATTTCTTGCTGGAGGCGTAGACTCAATGTATTGAAATTTAAAACTTTTGCATCTGATTTTACTCAATTGCTAATGCTTGGTCGTGATGCAAGTGGCATGCTAGCTTGACTGTGAAGGAAGCTAAGCTAAAAAGCTAACCAGACCTTACATGCACTCTAAACAACCTCCTACTGAGAGAAGTACTGAGCCGAACGAGATGGCTGTACAGTAAATGAGTGCTTCAGGCTTTGTGAGACAAATTTTGTTGCATTTGGAAGCCTTGTCAATGCGGCCTGGCTCAATTTCCTCCACTGCCATTGCTACAGTGGAGCAAAATAATTGACGTCATTCACAACTCCTCCTGTTCGCTGATTGGCCTGGTTGAAATTCCACCAGAGAAACCCTTGGAGTTGGGCAGAACTCTGTAGGAAGGCAAGGCTAGTAACCTCCACCCAGTCTATTTGGGTCATCAAACTTGTGTCTGGACTTCACATGACAACGACTACAAGGCAAACTGTGTTCTCAGCATGGATTTATATTTAAATGAGTCGATGCTCTCAGGTGAACTTAAGTGTTAAWATACCTCAATCTGAATCTCCAGGAGATATGTTACAGCCTTGCTTGAAGTGGCAAAGGTCCACATGCCAACCCCTACAGACGGTAATTTTTGAGGGTCACTCTGTATGTTGATCCTCAAAAATCTTTCATTTGCACAAAAATGCCATATTACTCATACACAATAAAGCGGGGTGTGGGGCATGCAGACTATCAGCTATGGGGGCAGTGATAACAGAGGAGCAGGGAAAGGAGGACAGGGAGGGGTAGCAAACTTATTTCTTGCGGCAGAACGGGTTGGAAGATGTTTTGTTTTACGCCTTAAAGGCTCTGAGATATGAAATAAATTTGAAGCAGAGTTTGTTTTTTTTTTTAAATCCATGATTTTTCTTGTATATGTCCATATGCTGTACAATTCGACTCGTATGCAAAAGGTGCAACATCCATGGCATCAACAGAAGGCATCCAAAACCTGGCTTGAAGTGTTTCATAAAACTATCCGAAGAAATAGCAGATAAGCTGAAAATAGTTAAGCTRCTGGCTAATCAGAGTTGAGCTACTTTAAAATCAAATATCTAAAACAAGTTCACAGATCTTCTTGTCATTCAAGTGATCATAATGTTTTGGAGTTTTACACTGCATTACATTTGCATTAAATCGCCTCACAGATTTGAATCTTTTGTTGATTTCTGCATCACTCACAGCAAATACCAGGCTGTTAAATTGTCAACAGATTTTTTTGTTCCTTTTTTATGCCTGMTGTGATGTGTACCATGTTCAGTTTTCATTATTTTTTAAACTCAAAGCTGTAGAGTTTCTTCTATTATTATTTTGATGTAGATTCATCCATAAAAAAACAACCTTCTGGTGTATTTATTTCTTTTAATGTTTAAATTCGTGTAGATTGAAACCAATGATGCTGTTAGAATGAATCATAGTTTAAATTCAAATCAGGGCTTAAAGTTGTTATGTAAAATTTCACAGTGGAAAAAAGAACAAAGTGACACTGTTGACTGACTGACACGGTGATTGTTGAGTAAAATATATTCAAGTTTCGGTTGTATTTTAAATATATAAAAATGTATTTTTTTCATGAATTTGAATGAATATAAATTACACATTTCAAACAACCAAGACTGCATCTTCAGCCCCGTTTTATCCCCTCCTGTCCTAATATTTATTTTTTAAGCATATTTTATACATTTATTTACTTTTATGTTTCTTTTGCAATTGTGCTCTAACATTTTCATTTGTGTTTTGTTTGGTTGATATGTTGTCATCATTTCAAATTATTTTGTTTGTGTTTCCCCGTACCCACCCCCTACCCCCCACTCCCACTCCTTCTGTGCTTTTATTTTTACATTTTTCTTTCAACCAATCATGTCCGTGCGCATCATGTGACTGTCATGTGGCTCTTGCATGGTGCTGATGATGTCGTCTTCGGTGATCAACAGAAGGTAACTTTTTTTTGTTTTGTTTTTGCTCATGAGGAATTTGTCCAATTAGAAACAAAAAAAACTAACATTCAAACTTGTTTTTTAGCTTTGCTATTTTCATGCCATAGCAAACCAATTCAACTGACAAGTACTAATCCTGAATCATTAAACCAGCATCGTGTCATCACTTCATTCATTTGAATCATTTTCATTCTGTCAAACTAAAGACAGTTGCAAAGTTAGCAGACTGGTTTGTTTTTCTAAGTGCCTTCATTTTTGCAAGCTTATTCAGGATGAATTACTTTAATTGACTGGAGGTGGTAAAAAAAAGACCTATTTGTCATTCAGTTCAAACTTTAGAAGGTTTTGCTCTAGTGTAAACTACATAAGACTTCTGAGTCTTCACAGAATTCTGTGAAATTTGAAAAAGAAGCCTCACAAGTTGCTACAGACAATGATATGCATCATAATTACTTTTAAACATRCTCTCATATGTTGACTGTTTTATGCTAACGGCTCCCAGTGATGCCATTCACTGTTTTAGATTAAACTCACAGCACAGCAAGTTTCTTTCCTTCATCTTAGTTTTTTTTTTTATTTTTCCAGTAGTCATGTTTCCATCAACAGTTTTTTATGTGCATTCTGAAGTATCGCATTAGAAAAAGTGGGTGGAAATAGCAAATTTCGCAAAAAAAAAAAAGTTTTTACGCTCGCCTGAGGTGGTATTTGGATTTTACGAAGAAGAGTTACTGCGCAAAAGAGGAGATGGAAACACATTTGTCGATTAAGTTCTGACATAGTGAACATGTACCTCGATCTGCTGTTCCACCCGCTTCGGATGTTATCATCCATAAATGGACATTATTAGCTGTTATCAGTCCCATAGAATGGCTTCAGACTGTCAGCTGGTTAGTATGAGGCATAAAGCCACTAAGGTTAATTTTAGAGAAAATGGCATACGCTATGATAAAGTAGACCGGACTCTGGCGGTAGCAGATTGTTACATTCCAACATATATGGCACTGATAAGCCACTAGGGGACACTGTTGGGACAGTCTGAAGTCWTTCTATGGGACTGATAACCGCTAATAACGTCCTTTTAATGGACTGATAACATCTGAACCGGCTAGCTGTTCCCGCCGTCCAATAATTGTATCGGCTACAGTTGGACTCTCCTCCCGCTGTCGGCATCTTCCCGGATATTCCCATACCGTGAGGAGAATTGCATTTATTTTCTACGTCTCCAAACAGAATGTAACATCACCAAATTAGTTGATATGGCAGAATAATTAGAACTTTCCCGATACTATCAATGTGTTCCTGATTACGTCTCTCCATTATCTTGAGATGTATCCCCGCGAGTTTGCGACATTACTTCCTGTTTACTRCAGCCATGTGTAAAGTCAACGTCTGATGTAATTACACTTTGTGTAGCCTGGTTGATTTGCTCCAATTTGCTCAAAATTTGCATTAATGGGAACTCGGCTACAGAAAATGTCTGTCCTGCTGCATGCTSCTACGTCTCTATTGTTACATCTCCTTAATTAAATCTGACACATAAATGTGTTTGCAAGGTTCACTCAGTCTGTGAAATYATTCCTGTAGAAATTAGTTCTCGTTTGCACAACGGTGTTTAGCATCAGATGGAACTCTAAAATGCACAATGGGGTCTTTTAATTGTACAAAACTAAAAAGAAGATATTTGTATGAAAGCATGTTTCAAGTCGCTCCGTAATGTTTGCTAGAACATATAAAGTAATTTAAACTGCATGTGGAACGTTGCCCCCCACTTTGATGTCTTTGTGAGGTCTTGTGTGGTCCCAGCTGCACACGTTCCATTTCTTAAATGTGTGACTACACCCACATTTTCCAGCCTGCAGGTGTCTTTTATTCTAAGTACTTCTCTCTCTCAGCTGTTAGAAAATGTTTCCTAACTGGCTGATGCTTGTGGATAACATAAATGAATGTTCTGATGCCTAGCTGCTGCTCTTTCTAACTCTAATTCTCTCATATACTTTCAGCCTGAGTCATGCTCCCCTGCAGTCTCGTGGAGTTCCGTTTCCGAGCAGCGGATTTGCTTGATTTACTAACTCCATGAATAATTGTCCCCATGCATATTCATTTTAATGACTGCAGCCGCTAACACTGTAAAGGCCGAACTGTTTGTGTCCATTACAATATTTTCTAATGTAAACCGTTTTAATGAGCAAGGGAAAAAAATAGAATAAAGAAGCTTTTAGCCTTGTCTTTAATACAAGAAAGCAATCTTCACTGCTTTGTGAGGTTCCAAATATTAGAGCATTAGTTAAGTGCAAAGTAAAATATAACTAGCTGATAAATTTGGGCTTTTAGGTTTTTATTCTGCTTGCACAGAAATCACAATGACATGAAAGCAGAAGCTAACACCCACACAGCAAACTGAGAAAGCACTGACCTWCCTCCCAAAAGACTGTGTCAATGTTATTAAAAGTAATAAGGTAACATGTCCAATCAAGGCCTTAGGGCTCATTATCCTGCAACCCAGCAGAAATGACTCAGGAGGACTGAGCTGATAATGAGGAGGCTCTAAGAGAGCACCACCTCTATCAGGGAGGCAGCCACTCTGCCCTCTTCTTCAAAATGTTGTTTCAACTCATCTTTTTTACGATAATGTACTTTCAGACTTTAAACGTACAGTATATTAGAATGAAGTTGTTGGATTTTATTTTTCCTTAACGAGCAATCTGAATCAAATGTTAAAATATTTTTTTCTGAAACATGAAATTTGTTATAGTAAATGACTTCTTATGTTTTTGGGCAGGATTAACACTGATTTGTAACCAAGCAATTTGGTTTGAGATTAGGGTGTATTCACACTAGGTAAGTCCTTTGGTCCACTTGTTTGGTCTGGACCAAATAGCGGACTTTATTTTATTTTCCTTTGGTGCAGTTTGCATTCACATTGTGCTTTTTGCAAGTGGACTATAATTTATAAACAAAGCCATGCAGGTGATGCTCATTGTTCCCATTGGACAGAAATGATGGGGGAGGGACAGAGGAATAAAGATGGTGCTGTTAATGCTGGTTCATTTGGGGAGGTGTGAATGCACAATCAAACTCTGATACGTTCCAAAAAAGCAGACTCTGGTCTGAACTCTGGAGGTTTTTCCTTCAGTTGTTCTTGGTGCGGCGCCACCACAGTCGAGGCTCAACAACATATTTTTGGCACAAATGGAACTCCATAGATCACAGGGTTTAGTTTGTTTGGCAAAGTGCAGTGTGAATGTGAACCGTATCAACCAAAAATGTAAACAAATCTTGCAAACGGCCATAAGACCAGTCTTTAAAGCTCAGAAATAGTTCTTTGAAATTCAAATCAAAAACAAGACTTAGTATATAAAAAAAACATTATAAATAGCACTAATAAATAAATATTTTTTGGAACTACATTGTGTTAATATTGATATGTCATCTGTTACAATTTTAGGCTTAAATTACAAATAAACAGCAAGTTTCAACTTATTGCAAAGAGCCAAAAAGGACACTTTGAATAACGCTGCGTTTAACATCTCGCTCACATTTGCTGTATTTTCTGTTCTGTGTTGTGCATTAGTTGATTTGAAAAGAAAAGCATCTTAAATTAATACAGATCTATGTAGTGATGCATTCAGTAGGATCATCATATTTTTGACTGATTGTAATTATTTACTTTGTCCTGTGCAGGGGAACCAAACGCCCCCAAACTAGAGACCGTGACTGGAAAAGAAGGCAATTCCTTTAAGGTCAAATGGATCAAGCAGGACGATGGTGGTTCTCCCATTAAACACTATCTGCTCAGATACAAAGCTGTGAGTACACTGGCTAAAAAAAGACAATTCTGTAACACTATGCATGGTTTTCATTTGTTCAGAACTAAAGAAAACTAAAAGAAATAGTACAATATTATCAGAGCTTGCTATTATCACCTCGCCAAATGGAAGCAAGAGATAACYAGTGAGGCTCTGTCTGCAAAAGACAACCGCCAGCAACTCTACAACATGTTTGGATTAACTTTAATCAATAAGTCATTGTTTTCACCCTGCGATTTTCATATTCTTAAAAACAAAAACATGTTCCCAGAACGAGTGCTGCCAATCTTAAATGAGCAATTTTCACTGGGGAGGAAAGAAGAAAGTAGCAGCAGCATTCACTAAGACAAAAATCTCCAGCTGGCACACGACCAGATGCATTTTTCCATGCTAACGCAGTCTAATCAGTTTTAGACACGAGGACTGGCACTGGCATATTATTTTATTTTCCCTTCTTTCATCATGCTCGGGCGACTTCATTTTAGTTCCTACATTTCTGTGCAGCAAGTGCAGACCAGAACTAATAAGGCTGCCTGAGTTATGTTAGAAACCGACCAAAATCAAACTGGCCTTTCTTTCATCTGCGTTCTTTACTTAGAAGCACGTATCGGTCTGGAAACCAGAGCTCCGCCTCCCCCCTGCCAGTGAGTACGCCCTGCTGTCTGGTCTGGATTGGAACACGGATTATGAGGTCCACGTGGTGGCAGAGAACCAGCAGGGCAAATCTGAGCCTTCCATCACTTTCTTCAGGACAGCTGTAGAGCCCACCACCATCCCAGGTACTATTTTCATCATCCCACCCTGAGCATCCACGCACACAGCCACAGTGCACACGGGCTCCCCTCCGTGACCAGAGAGCCTGCACTATTTCAATTCTTGACTTTTCAGCTAAAGCTTGCCAGCTGTTCGGTCTGGCATTAATAACCTACTTCTGAGTGTTGTTTTAAAAATAGATTTTTACCTTTTCACACATGGTAACATGAAAACTTTTGATGCAATGCCGACTGAAATGTAAAAGTGAYGCATCAAGGTTTGATTTTCAAATGAAACACCAGCTTCAGACAATGCTTTTTTTTTATTTTTCTGCACAAATGGTCACGGTTCGTCTCTGCACTGTTGCTGTGTTGTCTTCAAAGTGCAACTTCTAACCMTGGGCTATTTCCCCACCTCACTAAACCTGAGCTACTGATTGTATCATCTTCAACTCTGTTCACATCAATCTTTCTTTTGATCCCTCTGAAGAAAACATGTCATGTTTTCTTCCTCGTCTTCCCTCCGTTCTCATCTGCTCTTTCCGTGCTGTCATGCCTCCCCTTTATTTTCTCTCACACAAGAGGAGTTTATTGAATCAAGCACTTATCTTGTTAACTGTCAAGGGCACGGTAAGGGACAGATAGAATTGCACAAAAATTGTAACATGGATTTCAAGAAACTAAAGTGATGCTCTGCAAATAAGTAAACGGAGGAGATGTAGTCATTATTAATGACTTCAGAATACATTTTTTTATTAAATTTTACCTGATTTGAAGACACTTTTGCTGATTACCTTTAAATGTTGGGAAAAAAGTCAGATTTTTGGGTGTAACATATTGAATTTGAATAGTGCTTTYGAGTTATAGTTTTTACAGTTTTATCAAAATGCATTAGATTTGAAGGAAAATTAAATAAACTGTAATAGTTAGTTGGACTGTGGCTGTTAAAAATAGATGCCAAAAGAGTTTTTATTATTTTTTTTTTGTTGTTGGAAAAACAAGACTAGTTTTTTTTTTTTTTGGAATAATTTTTAAAGCAGCTCAAATTATTGCCAACTCTCATACTAAAACATTTAGATAAGATTTGGAAAAGACAGCTACACAGCTGTCTGTGCTTCTGGGTGTTACTTTTTACTGAAAATAAACAGAAACAGCTAAAACAGCCATGCRTAAAGTATTAAAGTTGAACATTTTATTTGCAATTATTTTTACTTTTGTCTGTGACAACTGCACCTAAAGAGAAAACAAGCTTCTACCTGATGCACAGCCGCTTTTCCTGAAACTTTTGCCACATTTGGGATTTAATTCAAGTTATTCTTGAAACATAAAAATAAAAGAACAAACAGCAAAAAAAAATCACTAGTTTATCTATTTTTTGTTAATGATAATTTAGAATGAGGAAACCCCACTTGAAAATCACCTGTGAAAATATGATTTGAACATTTTTCACTTGACAAATGTGAAACATGTTTTGTTCTTTTACTGTGTTAAAGTAGACATATCCTGCTTTTAAATTCTTCTTTTTCACATTTAAATCATTCAGTTGGGGTCTTTATAAAGTGAAACTCTGCCTTGGTCTGAATCCCTCCTTATTTAAACTTTACCAGCTCCTCTTTCACCACTTTTATGCTGTGTCTCAAAGCAGCTGTTTTTGTTACTGTTGTTTTAAGGTGCTTCAAGCCCCGCCCCCTCTGGCTTCTAGACCGATCCACTCCGGTTTGGGAGAGGAGGTTACGTTTTATGATTTATTTACATTTTAATTGAAAGATGTGAACAGAAGACTTGTTCATCCAGCTTTKCAAGTTGGAACTAGAGTCAGACCAAGAACCAGAGGAGAATTAAGACGAGAAAWTTGTAGCTGGTAAGAGAAGCTCCGTCGCAGATAATTTGACGTAATAAATCAGAGAAAAAAAACGTGCTGAAAAATATGACCCAAACAGTATATAAATCTATCTGAAACACTTTCTTTTACGGTACTCTTATTATCATGTAATTATGTGGTAATTAGGGTACAATTTTACTATGTAATAATTGTTTGCAGTAATGTAGCACTTACCTGGTAATGTATTACAATTCACTATGTAACACCTAAATAAGTAGGTAATTTTGACAGCTTTAAAGTTATATTTTATTGCAATTAACCACTAACCCCAAAATTTAGTTGCATTCTTTTGGTTATAAAAATAGTGTTGAGTTACTATTGAATAGTAATTTGATTGTAGTTACCCAATAAAGGTAGTTTTACTAACAGTAGTTTTTCTTTTGTACCGTAATTACCACGTAATTACATGGTAATAAGGTAGAAATTACATTTAATTACCATTTTTATTACCTTGTAATTACATGGTAATAAGGGTACCGTAAAATAAAGTGTTACCAATATATCTTTGCAGCAACAGGAGAGAATAAATTCAACTTTTTTTTGCCTCCTTGAGACTCCAAATCCACAACAAAATGTATTTAAACAGCTAAAAATGTGAATTTTGCATAAGTCACCTTTAAAGTTAAATAATAAAGTAAATAAAAACACATTCCACACATGRAAAATATTTTTTTARGATCTCATTATTCCAGCTKCTCAAGCTCATTGCATCACAATGAWGCGAATGTTCAGGAGTAAACAAAACAAGATATTTTAGAGCGTCATTGTTWCTATTTGATCCTGGTCCGGTTGTTTTCATTTTATTTTTCTGTCACGCCTAACACCATTATCTGTGCTTCACGTTYACTTTGTGTTTTTGTTGTGTCTGGTTTTCCTTCAGCCTGCCTGCTTTAGTGGCTCCCACAGTGTTCAGGACTCCTGCATGTTCTAAATATACAGTCTGTGGCCTGGTTAGGTGGGGATGCAGCCCTTTACAGCCTTTGCATGCTGCCTCCTCCAACTGGATTCATATTTTCTGTTTGTAACTCGTAAATCTAAAAGGCAACTTCTGCCAGTGTATGGCACGTGGAAAACCCAAACTAGCTCTTTTCTTTTGTTCCTGGTTTCTGGGCAGCAGCCATGTRGCAGTGGGAGGTTTGGATCACTTAGAGTTCTTCCAGATCAGACGTAAAATGTTCTTCATCCAAATCAGTCAGCCTTTAATTCCACTAATTACTTCTACTTTTTGTGTTGTTTCAGGATTTATTACTTCTGTTTCAACGTTTTTTTTGTTCCTCAGTCTACTCTGAAATAGCTTTAACTGAAGAAATTGCTGATGTTTATTTTTAGCTACAACATCTGAATTTAATTCCACTGCTCCTTTTCCACTCACACAGCTGGTTTTGGTAAAACTCACTGAAAACAGCTGCTGTTTAGTAAATAAATAGCGGTTCCATACGCTCAATTACAACTTAGGCTCCACATGCAGTTAACTTCAGCCTCACTTTATTTTTATTTTCTGTTTCAAACAAATGTTCAGAATTTAGTTACCCATAAAAGACGTGTTCATCCTCCTGGTGGATTTTTAAAAAACGGAATGCGATCCAGCATGAAAGACATCTTTAAAACAAGTTTTAACAGTCAGAAATAATCTGCTAAATCTGTTGTGTCACCGTCTTTTATGTGATTTGGCTTCTGTAATTTTAGTAGGCAGAGCTGGGTGGCATTTGCACGCTTCAGACTCAGACGAGGCGAAATGSTTCCCAGCTGTCAAGAGATGAAACGATTGTAGTTCAAATCAAACTTTTGATTATTCTCATTTATGGAGCCAGAATGTGGCAGCTACAGTGACAGGTGATTAATCCAAATCTCCCCAGCTAAGGTTGGCATTTCTGTAAAATCACAAAATTAAAAATAAAATAAAATAAAATAAAATTCCAAGGATTGATAACACGAGGTCACCCATTCGTCCACGTCTCAGACTTCATAAGCAGCTTCTGTATTTGGATGTGTGATTTTTGCATGGATCTTTTTCCTCACCATGACCAGCGATGTAATGGTGATAGAAAAAATGGTTCAATTATTGCTTGCCCACTCGTTTCCTATTGTTGTGCATGTTCATACCTAACTGTATGGCAATACATTTTACCTTGTAGCCATTTTTGGTTCACTGAAGAATGCCTCAGAGGTTTGAGMAAAAAAAAATCATCACAGAAAAAGAGCCGATTTATTRTAACACTGCCTCTTATTAGAGTCGTAGTCTTGTTCACTTAGTACGGGATTATTTTTCTTATGTTAAACTAATCTGAAGGGCAACACTAACTATTTTACATGAAATGTATTTAAAGCTTTTATAAATGTAAACCAATAAAGTTAAAATTTCAATATAATTTTAATAAATATATACATTATTCAACACTTCCAAAAAGAGAAAATAAAACTTATAGATTCTCTGTTTTTTCTTTCATCCATTTTCTAATAGTTTACTAATACAAGCTTTATCAAAATAGCAGCTTTTTTAGAAATCAGTGGTGAGTTGTATACGCCTGATCAATGAAGCAAGTGCATCAACTACACCCCCATTATTTTAAACGGGGGTGAAAACTTAAAGTCCTCCTTCCAGCAAAATTAGTCTTTTTTTATTAATATGTTTTATATAAATATTGCAAGTGTGTTCCTGCTTTGAGGTTATAATTTGTCTTTAAAACTAAACACTAACTTTGTGCCATGACGGATTAAAAATGTCCTCAAAGCAGAGGAGAACTGCAGCGTGTTTGAAATGTCTTCCTCAGTGGCGTCTTCCCCGTTTGTGTGACCTTCCTCCCATTCCTTCCATCAACCACGAAGCCGTGCCGCTAACATACTGTGACAGTCTATTTTTTATTATTTATTTTGGTTCTCAAACCTAGTTCCTTTTGTTATTCCTGAGTTGAGTCTTTAGTAACCTTTCAGATGTGGATTTCTGAATTTCTGACCTATTTTTCATTCTCTTTCCCCTCTTTCTCTCCTGCTTCCCCCCTCTTTTCTCCGTGTCCTCTTCCTGTCTTCATGTGTGATCTTCTGGGCACCTATGGACCATGACATTGCCATGCACACAAATTCCTTTCTCTGTTTGTGCTTTTTATTATGTTTTCTATCTTTCTTGTCACACCTAATTGGCTGTCGC